TCTATAGTATGTAGTATTGTGAAGTGTGTGGCTCTATAGTATGTAGTATAGTGAAGTGTGTGGCTCTATAGTATGCAGTATAGTGAAGTGTGTGGCTCTATAGTAAGTAGTATAGTGAAGTGTGTGGCTGTATAGTATGTAGTATAGTGAAGTGTGTATGACTCATTATACCCTGTATGTTAACATGTGACAATTACTCCATTGTTACAAGGTGAATGTGGTTTACAGTCACCCATATGCATAATAAGCACACACACACACACACACACACACACACACACACACACACACACACACACATTATTTATCAAATCCATGACTCATACACACATAAATATCTCATACATGTCAGCAGAGTGTGTGCAGTATTTGTTACCTGTACAATAAATAAACTAGAAACTGTCCTCTCTCCCACGAGGAAATAAAGTCAATGTTTATTTCATTATTATTATTTTCCTATTAAACATTTATATATACTAACATTATATAGAATGTATATAACCATGTTAAAGGTATTCATAATGTATAATGTATTCTGGTGGGATTCAATGTATATATTTATAGATGTTTTGTTTTTTGTAAATTGAAGTGTTAAAAAAACATAAGTTTTATTCATCAAATAATTGTGGTTAAAATACAAGTTTAAACTAAACCTGTAGAGGATGGTATATATAAAATTTCACTATATACAGTACTTACAGATGGTGATAAAAAAAGTTTTAATTATATATATATATATATATATATATATATATATATATATATGTGACGATACAAATAATTTATAATTAATTTATAATTATATAAATAGAGATGTAAATGAGTAATAATTTCTTACATCATTATATAAACAGTAAAAAATATCATTAGTTTTAATGCTATATAAACTTATATAACTGGTAACACTTAAATTTTAGCTTGATATAAATTAATTTGCATTGAAGTATCAGTCAAGTCTAATTTAATATAAACAAATAGATGGTAATATCAGTATTAATTAATATAAATAGTTGTAATTAACATATAACATATGGCATTACCTATGGGCTGATAACCTGCACCATGTGGCTATTTGACAGCTTAATTAACTCTGTACAGTATGTATGTCAGGGGGAAACTCATGGGTAAGTAGATAGATAGATAGATAGATAGATAGATAGATAAGCATAGAGAGAAAGATAGATTAATAGATAGATAGATAGATAGATCGACACAAACAGACAGACAGACAGACAGACAGGGAGAAGCAGAGACAGAGGTAGATATATAGATAGATAGATAGAAAGATAGATAGATAGATAGATAGATAGATAGATAGATAGATAGATATAGAGGTAAACAGAGAGCAGAGAAGCGGGATAATTCTTGGATATGTCCTAATCGTCTCACATTCCTTTAACAAGTTTCAAATATTTGCTCACGACACGTTGGCTGTCTCCTGTGTGTGTGTGTGTGTGTGTGGGAAGGCAAGAGTGAGGCAAGGGCAGGAGTGAGGGAGGGGAAGGGCAAGCTACGATAAGAATGAGGAAAGGCAAGAGTGAGGTAGGGCAAGAGTGAGGCAGGGCAAGAGTGAGGTAGGGCAAGAGTGAGGCAGGGCAAGAGTGAGGTAGGGCAAGAGTGTGGCAGGGCAAGAGTGAGGTAGGGTAAGAGTGAAGCAAAGCAAGAGTGAGGTAGGGTTAGAGTGAGGTAGGGCAGGTGTGGTAGAGCAAGAGTGTGGCAGGGCAAGAGAGGTAGGGCAAGAGTGAGATAGGGCAAGAGTGAGGTAGGGCAAGAGTGAGGTAGGGCAAGAGTGAGGTGGGACAAAGGTGTGGCAGGGCAAGGTGAGGTAGGGCAAGGTGTGGCAGGGCAAGGTGAGGTAGGGTAAGGGTGAAACAAAGCAAGAGTGAGGTAGGGTTAGAGTGAGGTGGGGCAAGAGTGTGGTAGGGCAAGAGTATGGCAGGGCAAGAGAGAGTAGGGCAAGAGTGAGATAGGGCAAGAGTGAGGAAGGACAAGTGAGGAGTAGGGCAAGACTGAAGAGGGCAAGAGTGTGGTAGAGCAAGAGTGTGGCAGGGCAAGAGTGAGGGTAGGGTAAGAGTGAAGCAAGGCAAGAGTGAGGTGGGGCAAGAGTGAGGTAGGGCAAGAGTGAGGCAGGGCAAGAGTGAGGTAGGGCAAGAGTGTGGCAGGGCAAGAGTGAGGTAGGGTAAGAGTGAGGAAGGACTGGTGAGGTAGCAAGGTGGTGGGGCAAGAGTGAGGTAGGGCAAGAGTGAGGTAGGGCAAAGGTGAGGGTTGGGCAAGAGTGAGGTAGGGTAGAAGTGAGGCAGGACAAGAGAAACTACTATACAAAGCAATTACTAAAGGAATGTCTTCTCTAATTGTGTACGTGATATATAGAGCCGTTTGAGGGAGTGTTATAGAGCAGTGTGAGAGTGTGTTATAGTCCCGTGTGAGTGTGTTATAGACCCATGTGAGTGTGTTATAGAGCCGTGTGATAGTGTGTTATAGTCCCGTGTGAGTGTGTTATAGACCCATGTGAGAGTGTGTTATAGAGCCGTTTGAGGAGTGTTATAGAGCCGTGTGAGAGTGTTTATAGACCCGTGTGGATGTGTATAGACCTATGTGAGAGTGTGTTATAGAGCCGTGTGAGAGTGTGTTATAGTCCCGTGTGAGTGTGTTATAGACCCATGTGAGTGATAGAGCCGTGTGAGTGTGTTATAGAGCCTTGTGAGGTGTATAGAGCGTGAGAGTGTGTAAGTCCCGTGTGAGTGTGTTAGACCCATGTGAGGTGTGTTATAGAGCCGTGTGAGTGTGTTATAGAGCCTGTGAGTGTGTTATAGAGCCGTGTAGAGTGTGTATAGCCCGTGTGAATGTTTATAGACCCATGTGAGTGTGTTATAAAGCCGTGTGAGAGTGTGTTATAGAGCCGTGTGAGGTGTTATAGACCCATGTTGAGAGTGTGTTATAGAGCCGTGTGAGGTGTGTTATAGAGCCTTGTGAGTGTGTTATAGAGCCGTATGAGAGGTGTTATAGTCCCGTGTAGTGTGTTATAGACCCATGTGAGAGTGTGTTATAGAGCCGTGTGGTGTGTTATAGGCCATGTGAGAGTGTGTTATAGAGCCGTGTGAGTGTGTGTTATAGAGCCTTATGGGTGTGTTATAGGCCGTGTGAGAGTGTATAGTCCGTGTGAGTGTGTTATAGACCCATGTGATGTGTTATAGAGCCGTGTGAGTGTGTTATAGACCCATGAGAGTGTGTTATAGAGCCGTGTGATTGTGTGTTATAGTCCCGTGTGTGAGTGTTTATAGACCCATGTGAGAGTGTGATAGAGCCTGTGAGGGTATAGAGCCGTGAGAGTGTTAGTCCGTGTGAGTGTGTTATAGAGCCGGTGAGTGTGTGTTAAGAGCCTTGTGAGGTGTTATAGAGCCGTGTGAGAGTGTGTATAGTCCTGTGAGTGTGTTATAGACCCATGTGAGAGTGTGTTATAGAGCCGTGTGAGTGTGTTATAGACCCATGGAGAGTGGTTATAGAGCCGTGTGATTGTGTGTTATAGTCCCGTGTGAGTGTGTTATAGACCCATGTGAGAGTGTGTATAGAGCCTTGTGAGTGTGTTATAGAGCCGTGAGAGTGTGTTATAGTCCCGTGAGTGTGTTATAGAGCCGTGTGAGTGTGTTATAGAGCCTGTGAGTGTGTTATAGACCCATGTGAGAGTGTGTTATAAGAGCCTGTGAGTGTGTTATAGGCCGTGTGAGTGTGTTATAGAGCCGTGTGAGAGTGTGTTATAGTCCCGTGTGAGTGTGTTATAGACCCATGTGAGAGTGTGTTATAGAGCCGTGTGAGTGTGTTATAGACCCATGTGGTGTGTTATAGAGCCGTGTGATTGTGTGTTATAGTCCCGTGTGAGTGTGTTATAGACCCATGTGAGAGTGTGTAAGAGCCTTGTAGTGTGTTATAGAGCCGTGTGAGAGTGTGTTATAGTCCCTGTGAGTGTGTTATAGAGCCGTGTGGTGTGTGTTATAGAGCCTTGTGAGTGTGTTATAGACCCATGTGAGAGTGTGTTATAGAGCCTTGTGGGTGTTATAGAGCCGTGTGAGAGTGTGTTATAGAGCCGTGTGAGAGTGTGTTATAGAGCGTGTGAGTGTGTTATAGACCCATGTGAGAGTGTGTTATAGAGCCGTGTGAGTGTGTGTTATAGAGCCTTGTAGGTGTGTTATAGAGCCGTGTGAGAGTGTGTTATAGTCCCGTGTGAGTGTGTTATAGACCCATGTGAGAGTGTGTTATAGAGCCGTGTGAGAGTGTGTTATAGAGCCGTGTGGGGTGTTATAGACCCATGTGAGAGTGTGTTATAGACCCATGAGAGTGTGTTATAGAGCCGTGTGAGTGTGTTATAGACCCGTGAGAGTGTGTTATAGAGCCGTGTGAGTGTGTTATAGAGCCTGTGTGTGTATAGAGCCGTGTGAGGTGTGTTATAGTCCCGTGTGAGTGTGTTATAGACCCATGTGAGAGTGTGTTATAGAGCCGTGTGAGAGTGTGTTATAGAGCCTTGTGAGTGTTGACATATAGAGTGAAAATTGTGTCAAGATTAAGGAGAAGACCCTCTTGGTTTCCTCAATAGCTCTTCTCCGTCAATGGTAGTGAGTAAGTAAGTGACATTACCAAACTCACGTATTCAATTGACACACTTAAGTTCAGATTACATGAACTCACTTTTATATTTAAGGACAGTCATAATCAGTGGATTTGGTAGGTTATTGAAGCCTATCAAAGAGAAACAAAAAAAATTATCCGTCAGTTGGTAAGTCAGTGACAGAATGGGAATGTACAGCCACTTACGCAGCTAATGTTCAAGTGTAAAATAGTATTATTATTTATGGTGAAACATCATTACTATAATGTAGAATGACACCAGTGTAAATTAGAATGATTCATTAAATATAAAACAAAACAATTTAATTTTCCTAGAGAATTATAACAATAATTTTTGACAATAAGATTAAAGATAATGATGATGATGATGATGATGATGATGATGTCGTTGATGATGATGATTATGATGATGATGATGATGATGATGACAAGGATGGCGATGATAATGATGGCGATGGCGCAGTATAATCATGAAGGATCACAAAACACAAGTAACATGACTGGTGAACACTGTAACACGGGGATGACACTCCTCGTCACTGGCCTTCCACAGTAACTAAAATTGTTTACTGCCACTGGTCTACCTCCACACGCTATCATCATTATCTCTCTCTCTCTCTGTCTTCCTCTCTTCCTCTATCTCTCCCCCTGTTTCTCTTTCTCTTTTCCCCTGTCTCTCTCTCTTCCACCGTCTCCCTCTTGTCTAGAGTGCCAATAACTTTTCACTGGTCAACTTATCACATCGTCCAATACAGCGTAAAAAATGTGAGCATCTACAACAGGACCACCACACTACCCACTACGAGCTCGTATGTCCTGGTGCGTCACTCCACCTCTGGTCAATATACAAAATATATTCAATAAATAAGTTTATCATGAGTGTGGACATGTAACATCGACCCTGTTCACCAACATGGTTGAATGTGCTCACACTGGCAAAGGGTCACATATTTCAACAATGCTCACACTGGCGAAGGATCACACATTTCAACAAGAGTTATATATTTTCTTCACTACATTTAACCAACCAGTTATATAATAATTTTGTTTCTATAAAATATATACTGAACTCGTCACTCATATGTCACCATTATCACGAGTTTCACCACTGGCTTGAGCCGCCCTTCAGGAGGTTAAGGTGGTGGTGCAGGTGAGTGGGGACCCCGGCGGTTGGATCAGGTGAGCAGCGGTAGGTGAGGGTGGAGAGGTCCTGCCACACCACCCAGCAGCCACCATACCATCAGGCACCACACCACCACAGTAGAGGTCACTGGCCGGGTGTGTCCTCCGCCCCCGTGGTACATTGCTGCCGGGTGTTCTCCTGCAGGGAAAGATAGCTTAGTGTTAACTACTTCACACACACACAACACACACACACACACACACACACACACACACACACACACACACACACACAGAGAAATTTGAGGAACAGAAATATATACACATACGACATAATTATACATCTTATGTAATTTTAACTGAGGTACAGTACATAGACATACAAACAAACACAGCCTCAAGACACACTGATACACACAGGTCTAAAACACAGTCACATACACCCACACCTTGTCTTGGGTACACAGAGAACACAGAACCCAGACACACAAATACAGTACACACACCTACACACACAGCTCTGGGACACACACATACCACATACACACAAATACACACACCTACACATACACAACTCTGAGACACATAGACAGCACTGAGATACAGACACATCCAACAACAACAACAAAACATATACAATATATACACTAATTACCTGGAGGTATCGGGACGATGAAGGTTGATGTTATACTAAATATATATGAGAATACGACAAAAATCTCACCCCTTGTACATAGATGAGGAGAGATATGGATGGATGAGGAAACACTCAACTCGGCACAAACTTTCCTCTGTGTTAAATCAAAAGTAATTAATTGCAAAACTTGGCAGGAGATTCTCATCAGCTCAGAGATAATAGCGCTCTCAAGGAGGAAAAAACCGTGATGACACATGCCTTCTACAGTGTACTTCACTAACTACTGTACGCTCCAATAGGGTCAGAGGGTTAAGGTCATACTCATCCCAGCTTGTATGTTCATCTTGGTCATAACATGAGAAGAGAGTTTATATATATATATTTTTTGTTCATTCTCCAGTCATGCTGTCATGGTGCATTTTTTATTCAGTATTCTGACCATTAAACGGCAACAGCTAATGAACGGGTCATGGGGACTGTATATACCTAACCTAACCTAACCTGTTGTCTCGGTAGGTTTGTTAAAATCTTTCGTCCGTTCTGTCAAATTGTCTAACACAAAATTGTTAGATACCTTATGGAGAGAGTACATGGTGAGTGTAGTGTTTTCATTCTCGAGGTATACTGTGGATATACTTAATGTTTACTTACAAAGCTAAGTAGTATATGTATACCTCCCTGCCTCCTGACGTTTGCCTCTTCACATACTGTACATCTCAGAGCCCTTTAAACACACTCCCTTCATGTTCCACAATTAAACTATATTCCTTTGTCTTTCTTATCAATGGTATATTCAGAAAGAGTAAATTGAATACAAATCATTTATCATTTATATTGTGCTTCAGAGGACACAATGTCAGGTATACTACCCTGGTCCGTCACACAGTTGAAAACAAAATTATACAAAGGCATGTGACCGCCACCACACTCAGGTAACTTAGTCACTGTGAATAATAAATGATCATACATTTCAATAACGTGAAATAAATTGTCATAACGTAAAATTCCAATGTGAAATAAAGCCTTAATAAATGTAATCTGCGTTATTGTACAACACGCGTGGGTCAACAACACTATTAATGAAAAAAAAATAAGCAAACAAACTAATCCATGGCTCACGTGGAAATGTTATCAAAAACATTTATATATATATATATATATATATATATATATATATATATATATATATATATATATATATATATATATATATATAAATGACCTGAAAGTGATTCATTTCGTTCACATTGTCATTTAGTATCACTTGGTATAATGAATGAATCAATACGCCATTTTTATACAAGAATTATCAAAACAATAATGGAACAATTAATGATTTGGGGGAAAATAACAACGACTTATTTAAGAGTTATGAGTGATGGTGCACCCTGAGTGATGGTGCACCCTGAGTGTTGGTGCACCCTCAGTGTTGGTGCACCCTGAGTGATGGTGCACCCTGAGTGTTGGTGCACCCTGAGTGTTGGTGCACCCTGAGTGTTGGTGCACCCTGAGTGTTGGTGCACCCTGAGTGTTGGTGCACCCTGAGTGTTGGTGGTCTGTTTACTCACCACACTCTGTCCTTCGTGGTAAGAGGTACAGTAGACATGACAACAATATCAGTAATGTTCTCTCCTCCCTTCACCGGCTACTTCATGGCACAAGATTCAACAAAACAAAAACTTAAAATTTGATAAGCGTGAATTAATTTTCTTTTAATTAGTACTATTTATTCTTAATTTCCACAACCTTTACCCCCTGAGATAATGTGTGTGTGGGGAGAATATGACCCCTGAGAGATAGAGAGAGAAATATAAGTGTATCAAAGGTAATCATGACCCCTTGACAGAGAGATAAGTGCCACAGTCATAAAACATAACAACAGCTGAGTACACTGACAGTCGGGTGAGTGAGGTAGTCAGTGTCGTTGGCAACTATATAAATATATCCACAGCAGAACCGAAACCATTACAGTGTTCATCTTTATTATGAAAATAAAATCTCAATGATATCGGTTTTTATTCAATGAACTAAACATCAAAGACACAAGAATCATCGTATGGAGATTAATAACTGGGGATCACACATGTAAACATTACTGACCATTAAGAACATGTAGCGTAACAGAGCCGTTGGGGAGACTGGCGGGGGCGCAGCTGTAGGCTCCCTGGTCCCTCGGGGAGGCTGTAGGGATGAGCAGAGTTCCTACGGTCGTGTCCTCCGAGACTCGCTCCAAGAAGACCCGACGTCCTCTTCCTGACAGATCGTCCTCCACCACTCGCTCCTTGCCCTGATGAGAGAAACTGTATAGTGAAGGAGCTTGTTGAGAGAGAGAGAGAGAGAGAGAGAGAGAGAGAGAGAGAGAGAGAGAGAGAGAGCATACCCAGGGAAACTATAACAATGCTGACGACTTATACTAAACCTATTTGTGTATTTCGTTTCATCATCTCCTCAACTTATAAATCTAAACTAAAAAATAACAAGAACGTTACATTCTTCATATCATGTGTGTTATCTACGACCAGGTAAACGGTACTTAAAGATCCTAGCTGTTAAATCACCACAAAACATTAAGACAACAGTAAGTAATAACTCAACGACTAGTTATCTTTACACTACAAGTCTTCTTCTTCACAGGAAACAAGATAACAAGAAGACAATGTCAAGTCGCACAGTTGTGACGTATATATGGTGTTACTTAAAAGTTTCACAACTTCAGGTCGATTTATGGCGATTTATATGGGACAGTTCCATTAAGTTTTAACATTACGAAGCACAAACTGACACAGGAGGAGAATTTATTGGTGGAAACAAGAGTCATTTTTCCCTCTCGACAAGACCATAAGTGACATGTTTTCACTAGTGGTCATCTGTGTGTTCGATTATATTTCTTCAATATTTTACAAAGAAACAACTCATTTTACATCATAATATATTGTCCTCATTCCTCAGTGTCTATTTTATTCAATGTGGTAATGGCGAAATATATAATACATAAGAAAAACAAAACACTAATATAGTTCGCCATTTCCCCATTGAATAAAATAGACACCAAGGAATAAGAACGATATATATCACTAGAGTCTTAAGAGCTGAGAGTCCTATGTTATATACAGGTATTGTTACCATCATCTTATCATTATCTACAGACTTGGTACACTACTATTACACTCACCTGGTACACTACAACACTCACCTGGTACACTACAACACTCACCTGGTACACTATTACACTCACCTGGTACACTATTACACTCACCTGGTACACTACTACACTCACCTGGTACACTATTACACTCACCTGGTACACTACACACTCACCTGGTACACTACTACAACACTCACCTGGTACACTACAACACTCACCTGGTACACTACAACACTCACCTGGTACACTACAACACTCACCTGGTACACTACAACACTCACCTGGTACACTCTTACTCACCTGGTACCTCAACACTCACTGTTTCTAACACTCACCTGGTACACTACAACACTCACCTGGTACACTACAACACTCACCTGGTACACTACAACACTCACCTGGTACACTACAACACTCACCTGGTACACACTACAACACTCACCTGGTACACTATTACACTCACCTGGTACACTACAACACTCACCTAGTACACTACAACACTCACCTGGTACACTACTACACTCACCTGGTACACTACAACACTCACCTGGTACACTACTACACTCACCTGGTACACTACCACTCACCTGGTACACTACAACACTCACCTGGTACACTACCTCACCTGGTACACTACAACACTCCTGGTACACTACTACACTCACCTGGTACACTACTACACTCACCTGTTTACTAACACTCACCTGGTACACTACTACACTCACCTGGTACACTACAACACTCACCTGGTACACTACAACACTCACCTGGTACACTACAACACTCACCTGGTACACTACAACACTCACCTGGTACACTACAACACTCACCTGGTACACTATTACACTCACCTGGTACACTACAACACTCACCTGGTACACTACTACACTCACCTGGTACACTACTACACTCACCTGGTACACTACAACACTCACCTGGTACACTACTACACTCACCTGGTACACTACAACACTCACCTGGTACACTACTACACTCACCTGGTCACACTACTACACTCACCTGGTACACTACTACCTCACCTGGTACATATTACACTCACCTGGTACACTACAACACTCACCTGGTACACTACAACACTCACCTGGTACACTACAACACTCACCTGGTACACTACTACACTCACCTGGTACACTACTACACTCACCTGGTACACTACAACACTCACCTGGTACACTACTACACACTCACCTGGTACACTACTACACTCACCTGGTACACTACAACACTCACCTGGTACACTACTACACTCACCTGGTACACTACAACACTCACCTGGTACACTACTACACTCACCTGGTACACTACTACACTCACCTGGTACACTACTACACTCCTGGTACACTATTACACTCACCTGGTACACTACAACACTCACCTGGTACACTACTACACTCACCTGGTACACTACTACACTCACCTGGTACCAGAAGATATACTCGGGTTGGATGAGGGCAGCAGAGATGATGCACTTGATGGTCACTGTACTGCCGCTCTTGACGTACATGTCGGGGCCACCAGGTATGTGTACTAGTGGAGCTGTGAGGTGATGAGACGTATGTGAGGTGAGGAAAACCTACAATGCACACCTTGTATTAAGACGTGTTGACATATATAGTTGAACCATGACAGGAAGCGATAAAAAAAATGAGTTACAGAAGAGAAAAGAGAATGAGGAAGGAATGGAGAAGGAGGAAGAGAAGAGGTTAGACGAGAAGAAGGAGGAAAAAAGAAGGAGAAGGAGGAAAAGAAGAAGGAGAAGGAAGAGAAGAGGAAGAAGGAAGAAGAAAATGAAAAAAAGACGAAAAGGAGAAGGGGAAGAAAATAAGTAGAATGAGGAAGAGAAGATGGACTAGGAGGAGGAGGAGAAAGAACAGAATGAGGAGTAGAAGCAGAAGAAGACAGAAGGAGGAAGATGAAACACAAACTTGACACAGGTGGCAGTTCTCACTCGACCGACTTCCAGAATATTTGCATGAAAAGAGCGAGAACTTGTGAATGTCAAATGATGATGACTAGTGTAAGGAGGAGGAGGAGGAGGAGGAAGTGTAGGAAGGACAGGAAGAGGAGAAGGCAGAGGAAGAAGAGGAGGAGGAGGAGGAGGAGGGAAAGACAGGAATGAATGATGCAAGGAGAAACAGTAAACTTTATGCTTGAACGATGAAAACATGGGTGAGGCAAGGCATGGATGAAGCAAGGTATGGATGAGTCAAGACATGGAGGAGGCAAGACATGGATGGGGCAATGTATGGATGAAGAAAGATACAGTTAAGGCAAGACATAAATGAGGCAAGGTATGGATGAGGTAAGGCATGGATGAAGCAAGGCACGTGTGAGGAAGGTAGGGGTGAAGCAAGACACAGATGAAGCAAAAAAAGGTTGAGGGAAAAGAGGAAAGAACCAAAACATGTGATGGACAGGATAGGGGCGGGGTTCTAACAGGATATGGGTGGGGAAGGTACAGGATAGGAGCGGATCACTAACAGGATGGAGGCAGGGCACTCATATGATAAAAGGAACAGGACAGGGGCAGAACAGGGACAGGTTAAAGGCGGCGTATGACAAGAACAATGAAGAGGATTTAAAAAGATAAAAAGGGAAGACGAAGAATAAGCGAGAAATAGAAGAAAAAGCACGAGTGTGATGGTTGTGGTGGTGGTAGTGGTGGTTGTGGTGGTGGTGGTAGTGGGAAGAAAAAGAAAGAGACAGGGAAAGTGAGAGAGAAAAAGAGATATAATTTGAATGAGACAGAGACACGTGCCAATATCCATCACTGGCCAGACTCGGGCAATCAATAATATTCTAATAAATTATGAATTTCCTTCATGGATATCAACTACTGAATGACTCACAATTATTCATAAGGAAGGACGTTTTCCAGACGATCTGTTTGTGAATCTCTTAAGTTGGAGTCACCAGCACAAGATGACTCCAGAATGTGGGTGTGTTAGTCTGGGTGTGACACGAAGGTCTTAGGGAACACCATTGTGGGTGTGTTAGTCTGGGTGTAACACGAAGGTCTTAGGGAACACCATTGTGGGTGTGTTAGTCTGAGTGTGGTGTGAAGGCTTAGTGAACACCATTGTGGGTGTGTTAGTCTGAGTGTGGTGTGAAGGTCTTAGTGAACATCATTGTGGGTGTGTTAGTCTGAGGTGTGGTGTGAAGGTCTCAGGAACACCATTGTGGGTGTGTTAGTCTGAGTGTGGTGTGAAGGTCAGACAATACTTGAGTCACTGAGAATCTATGGAAAAGTTGTTCAAGTCCTCGGGGACGAATTTCAGGGTCGAGCTCTCAGGCAATGCTTAATGGAGTAAAGTCTAGAAGTCACTCGACAGTATGTAATGCGCCTCAAGGGTGTAATCGTCTCTCTTTTATGGTGTATCGACTTGAGTCATCTTCTCAAGTTCGTCCCTGAAGACGACGATACAACCAGCTGGATGTTGTCTGATCTTCTCATCTTCAAAAGAAACCTTTTATGGATATACAGATCACAAATTAGTGCCTCGTCTTGTGTAAGAACCTTTATTGTTCTTACCGTCTCCTTCATGGTGTCAATCAGCGCCTCATTAACTATTAACACTTTTTCATCCTTTAGAAATATTCACAGGTCTTCTTTGTTCCTCATCCACATCCTCATCATGAAGGAGTTCTCATTCTCTGGGTGAAGGAGTCCTCACGTTCTCTAGATGAAGGAATCCTCATGTTCTCTAGGTGAAGGAGTTCTCATTCTCTAGGTGAAGGAGTCCTCATGTTCTCTAGGTGAAGGTGTCCCCATGTTCTCTAGGTGAGAGTCCTCATGTTCTCCAGATGAAGGAGTCCCCATGTTCTCGAGGTGAAGGAATCCTCATGTTCTCTAATTGAAAGATTTCTCATGTTCTTTTGGGGAAGAGGTTAATAACATATAACATGGAATGTCTAGGGATCAACCATTTGATGCCATTTCGTTGTTCCGTTTAATGTGTCAAATCACACAACATTATCCAGCGTTACACTAACCTGTCCAGAATCCAACTACATTATCGTGAATTACAATACTTTCCCTAATGTTACATTGCATTATCTAAAGTGACAAGATTAATTTAGTCCAAGTGAAGTTTTTACTCAATACACAGGTAATAAGGATAAGTTATGTTGTTGTGCGTGTGAGTAATGTTGACTTTTGTTGGCAGTATGTGAGGGTGACGACTGTTACAGGAGGCATAACTCACCCTTCACTTACCGCCTCTAACTCAAGCTACGATGGAAGTTGAGGTATACAAGGTGCCGTTCTCAGTCTAACCTAATCTTACCTAACCTGGCTCAGAACAGTGACAGTACTCAGTCAACGTCAGTTTTGCTTCAAGATCTGATATGGATGCCGTGTTGTGATCAGGTGAGGGGGAACAAAAAGGGGAGGACTCGTTATTGTGGGAGGTTTGTTACCGTGGTGAAGAGGGGGGGTGAGGTAAGGGGAGTGGAGGAGGAAGAACTTATTCTGGGTGCGTTGCTCCGCGATGAGGGGAGAAGAGGAGGGAGGAGGAAAAGGGAAAGACCTGTTATTGTAGGTGTGTTGCCATGTGGTAAAGGGAGGGTGAGGGGAGCGAAAGGGGAAGAGAATGAGGTATGAAAAAAGGGGAAGCAAAAAACAAATAAAAGAAATAGTAGTACATGTAGATTGGAAACAGAGAAGGAAAGGTGAGAGGAGAAACAATTTCAACGAAATGTTTTATATTTTTCAAAACTTAAATAAAATACGAGTACTTCGACCTGCTGGCCTGATACACCAGCAGGTGATCCTCCTGCTAATACTAATACACCAGCAGGTGGTCCTCCTGCTGTACTGATACACCAGCAGGTGATCCTCCTGCTGTACTAATACACCAGCAGGTGATTCTCCTGCTGTACTGATACACCAGCAGGTGATCCTCCTGCTGTACTCATACACCAGCAGGTGATCCTCCTGCTGTACTGATACTCCAGCAGGTGATCCTCCTGCTGTACTAATACACCAGCAGGTGATCCTCCTGCTGTACTAATACACCAGCAGGTGATTCTCCTGCTGTACTTGATACTCCAGCAGGTGATCCTCCTGCTGTACTGATACACCAGCAGGTGATTCTCACACTGTACTGATACACCAACAGGTGATCCTCCTGCTGTACTAATACACACCAGCAGCAGGTGATTCTCCTGCTGTACTGATACCAGCAGGTGATCCTCCTGCTGTACTCATACACCAGCAGGTGATCCTCCTGCTGTGCTCACTCACCAGCAGGTGATTCTCCTGCTGTACTGTCTACCAACAGGTGCTCCTCCTGCTGTACTGTTTTCAGGTGATCCTCCTGCTGTACTGTCCCACCAGCAGGTGATCCGCCTGCTGTACTGATACACCAGCAGGTGATCCTCCTGCTGTACTGAAACACCAGCAGGTGATCACTCCTGCTTGCTGTACTGGTACCAGCAGGTGAGGTATTCCTGCTGTGCTGATACACCAGCAGGTGATCCTCCTGCTGTACTGATACATAACAGGTGATCCTCCTGCGCTGCTGAGCTACACACCAACACTTGGTGATCCTCCTGCTGTACTGATACTCCAGCAGGGTAGTCCTCCTGCTGTACTCACTCCCCTCAACAGGTGATCCTCCTGCTTTCAGCCCACTCGCCCACACCAGCAGGTGATTCTCCTGCTGTACTGGTACACCAACAGGTGATCACTCCTGCTGTACTGATACACCAGCAGGTGATCCACTCCTGCTGTACTGATACTCCAGCAGGTGATCACTCCTGCTGTACTGACACACCAGCAGGTGATCCTCCTGCTGTACTGATACACCAACAGGTGGTCCTCCTGCTGTACTCATACACCAGCAGGTGGTCCTCCCTGCTGTACTGATACACCAGCAGGTGAGCCTCCTGCTGTACTGATACACAGCAGGTGATCCTCCTGCTGTACTGATACCAGCAGGTGGTCCTCCTGCTGTACTGATCACACCAGCAGGTGGTCCTCCTGCTGTACTGATACACCAGCAGGTGATCCTCTGCTGAACGATACACCAGCAGGTGATCCTCCTGCTGTGCTGATACACCAGCAGGTGATCCTCCTGCTGTACTGATACACCAGCAGGTGGTCCTTCTGCTGTACTGATACACCGGCAGGTGATCCTCCTGCTGTACTGATCCCCACCAGCAGGTGATCCTCCTGCTGTACTATTCACCAGCAGGTGATCCTCCTGCTGTACTGATACACCAGAAGGTGATCACTCCTGCTGTACTGATACACCAGAAGGTGATCCTCCTGCTGTACTGATACACCAGCAGGTAGTCCTCCTGCTGTACTGATACACCAGCAGGTGATCCTCCTGCTGTACTGATACACCAGCAGGTGATCACTCTGCTGTACTGATACGGCAACGGGTGAAGTCCTCCTGCTGTACTGATACACCAGCAGGTGATCCTCCTGCTGTACTGATACACCAGCAGGTGATCCTCCTGCTGTACTGATACACCAGCAGGTGATCCTCCTGCTGTACTGATACACCAGCAGGTGATTCTCCTGCTGT